TACCGGTGGATCTCCAATATGCCATCTCCTGCTCCATGGCACCTATCCACTGAGAGGCCCAGGGTCCCGAGGTTGCCTCAGCGTAAGTGCGAGGGGTCGGGATGTCAAGGGCGTCTGGGTCACCTGCAGGGACTAGTAGCATGGAACAGAGATGGGGAGCGGCCTCGGACAGGAAAGCAAGCTCGTACTGTCTCTCCTCTAGGACGTCACTGCCAAGGGCAGCCACACCCCCGACGGACGGAGGGCAGGCAGGGTAAGAGACCTGAGCAGTGGCGTAGTCAAGGCGGCGGGTTGCAGCGAAGTCAGTGACAGCAGCGACAAGAGCTGACAGACTCGAGACAGGAATGGATGGGTCGGTAACCAGAAGGGCAAGGACACGAGGAGCAAGGGGACGCACGGCACGGAGGAAGTCAGTGAACGGAGGTGGGGCCACGGCAAGCGTCAATGAAGGAGGAGACGGATGGAGCAGATGGGCATGAGAGGCGTGAGAGCGAAGCAACATAGGGTGAGAGCGCTGAGCACGGGAGGTTGGACGAGCACGAGACGGACGACGTGCCCAGACGTGAGACGGAGGAGTCGGGTCAGGAGAGAGGGGAGGAGATACATGAGGAGAGCGAGGTGGGAAACAAGACAAAAAAGAGTCCGGGGGAGGAAACACAGGGACGTAGATCGGCAGAGGAGGAGGCGGCGGTGACGGTGGAGGCACCGGAGGGCGATCAGGGGGAAGGAAGACCGGGGAGGCGAAGAGCGGACACCGGCGGCGACTGCGGCAACTGCTGCCCGACGCCAACACTAGAACCACCAGCGGCACCACGGTTCCCTCCGAGAAGCTCCACGCCAACACACCCATACCGGGAAACCGCTCTAGCACCCGCGCCGGCATGCTCCCAAGCACCCCCAGACTGCACGAACCACGGCGGTGACGAAAACGACGTCTGTGGCGGTGGCGGCAGCTGCGGAGGCGGCTGCGGCTGTGACAACAATGGCGATGACAGGAGAGGAGAGACCGGGGCGGGGACCGGCGGGCAAAGGGAATCCGCAGAGCCACGAGAGTCAACAGACTCCTCGGCAGGGACAACCGACGGGAGACACACCAGACGGGGCAGGGCGGGGAGGGGGGGGAGCAGGGGCGACCGGGGGAGGGGGAACCAGGATCAGGGGAGGGGGGTAACCGGAGGACCACGGTGGGGAAAGCGGTGGTAGAGGGAGACGGACTTGTCAAAGGTGACGTCATGGGAGTGAAAGAAACGGTGAGACAGCGTGTTGTAGAAGTGCCAGTTAGACGAGTCGAGGGGAAACCCTAGAAAGATACAAGGGACAGTGCGGGCAATGAGCTTGTTCGTGCCAGAGGCACGAACGTGAGCAAGGCATCCCCAGAAGGGGAACGCAGACGTGTCACCAGGAGACTCGGTCCAGAGGAGGGTCAGCGAAACCTGCGCCCGCTGAGGGTGCGGCCACAGGTTAAGCTGGTGGGCAGCGTAGCGAACGGCGAACGACCACAAAAATTGAGGTGCACTGGCATGGATCATGGAGGTACGAGCCACCTCCATGACCAGACCGATGCGTCGCTCAGCAACCCCATTCTGCTGCGGGGAGTCCGGTAGGGTAAACGTCTGGGTGATGCCCTCCGCGTGATAGAAGCGACCAAGGCAGCCAGAGGTGAACTTGCCACCACGGTCGGAGTGAAGACGCAACACAGGGAGACCTCGGTGGACGCGCGCAGAGACAAGCCACGAGATAAGAACGCCAGGCACGTCGGCCTTTCGCTCCAGGGGAAACACCGCGATGTAGCGCGTGTAGTCATCGACAAGCACTAGGAAGTAGCGCTCACGACGCGGCCCATGGACGGGGGTGGGACCCTAGACGTCCATGTGCAGGGTCTGCAGCGATGCGGTGGTGGGGGGGAACGAGGAGGAGTGAGGGGCACGGTGGAGCCGGCCCTCGACGCAGGGGGTGCACGGCGGTGCTGCCGAGGAGGGGAGCGTAGGGAACGACGCAGGGAGACCTAAGACAAGACTTGATGAGACATGTGACGGGGACGTGTGAGGGTAGGGTAACCTAGGCGGTGGTGCCACGGAAGCGACGGGTGAGTAAGCAACCGACACGAGCAAGCTGCAGCAATCTGGGTAGACGCTGCCACCTGGGAAGGCGACCCAACCGGGGGGGATGCGGTGTCCAGCGTGAACAGGCCAGTCATCGGGTCCCGGGGGAACGTGGTGAGGGGGGCACCAGTGGCAGCCTCGGTACAGACAGCATAATTCTTGTAACCAGGGAACGTAGTGGTGACGCCGAGGTCCTGAAGGCAGCCGACACCAACTAGGTTCCGAGAGAACGAGGGGATGTGCAGGCCTGTAAGTGAGCTCGAAGGAACCGCCGGATAGGGGAGGGTGGTGGAACTACAGGCGAATACCGGACCTGAGGAAGGGTCTGCAAAAGCAACAGCGGCAGGGACGGCAAGCGGCGTAAGCATAGTGTGGTCCCGAAAGAAACCCCGAGACGCGCCAGAGTTGAGAGTGAAGGAGAGCGCGGCAGTGGCGGCTGGGGGCGGAGGAGTTAGAGTGGAGCCAAGGCTAAACAAAACTAAGGGTCCTACACCTGACGCAGCATGGGAGCCTAAACTAGGCACACTAGGCACACCTACATTAGGCAACACGGGGTGATAGGAACCAGTCACACTAGAGTCATCGACATACAGCACATGCAATACAGAGCTAATCTCACCCATGTCCAGATCAAAGATCCTAACACCACGACGGAGCAAACTGTGCCAGTCGGGGAGGTCCGGCGCGGGGCCGAAGCGAAGACGAAACAGGTCGTCTAGGCAACTAACCGCACACGAGGTCGCGGGCAGTAGCAAGGTGTTCAGGGAGGCAGGTGGCAAGCAGGTAAAGGGTAGAGCAAATAGGGGGCTGGAACACACGAAGCTGGGCCTCAGTGCAAGCAGCACGCCAGCTCGCGTCGAGCGTGCGCAGGTGCGTGGCCAGGTCAGCGACGGTGGAGAAAGACGCGAGATCAGGGAAGAGCATGGGAAGGATCAGGCGGCCGGGAGAGGCAGAGGACAGGGTGGAATAACGCTCGACAACAGCCTCTAGGAACTCCTGCGCACTCCTGACTGACTTAAAGCTGGGGCGCTCAGACAGGGGGAGGGCATGGCTGATCACAAGCTGAGCGACAGCGTCACACGACAGCCAGACAGCACGGGCAAGGGCAGCAGCGATGGTGGACTCACGGTTAGCAAACGTGGGGTCAGCGGGGAGAGCAGCAGGGGGGTTAGGGCAGGGGAGCATACTGTCAATGTGGACGGCCAGGGAATGGCTGTCCTGCCGCTGACCAGTGAGGTGATGGCGGAGGTCGACGAGCCATGCGTCGAACTCAACCGGCTGACCCTCCGCGTCAAAGCGCAGCACCAAGTCCGCCATTAAGGCCGCTGCAGCCGCGAACAGGCGGTGAAGGGCGGGACGCAGCGACGAGGAGCAGTGGGGAGCAGTGCCGTACGGTGCAGTGCGGTGGAATACGGTGCAGTGCAGGGTCGCGCGGTGCAGAGTGGTGCAATACGGTGGGGCGCCGTGCAGTGCGGTGCCACGCGATGCAGTGTGGCGCCACGCGGTGCAGAGCGGTGCAGTGCGGTGGGGTGCTGTGCAGTGCAGTGCCGCGTGGTGCTGAGCGGTGCAGTATGGTGGGGGGTAGTGCAGGACGGTGGAGAGAGCCGGTTAAGCCAGCGGGGACTGGGAAACATGGCGGGGGGGGGAAGGGGGAGGGGGGCCGCTGAGCAGCTAGGCGACGGTGCCACGGGGAGGCTGGGCGACGGGGCCGCAGAGCAGCGGGGCGAAGAGGGCGCGGAGCAGCGGGGCGACGAGGCCGCGGGGCGGATGGGCGACAAGGCCGCGGAGCAGCGGGGCGACGAGGCCGCGGGGCCGCTGGGCGACGGGGCCACGGAGCAGTGGGGCGACGAGGCCGCGGGGCGGCTGGGCGACGTGGCAGCGGAGCAGCTGGGCGACTGGGCCGCGGGGCGGCTAGGCGACGGGGCGGCTAGACGACGGGTTGATGGGGCAGCTACGCTAGGGGAGACGAGGCCGCGGGGCCAGCAGGACGGCGAGGCGCAAGGCGACAAGGCGACGGGGCCACGGAGCTTTAGGCGCCAGGTGACAAGACGACGGGGCCAGGGGCGGCTAGGCGCTGGGTGACGGGGTGACTGGGCCACGGGGCGGCTAGGCGCTAGGTGACGGGGCGACGGGCCCACGGGCGGCTAGGCGCTAGGTGACGGGGCCGCGGGGCCATCGGGACGGCTAGGTGCTAGGTGGCGGAGCAACGGGGCCACGGGCGGCTAGGCGCTAGGGAACGGGGCCGCGGGGCCAGCAAGCGTTAGCAGACGGGGCCGACGGGCCAGCTAGGCGACGGGGCAGCGGGGCGGCTAGGCGCTAGGCGACAGGGCCACGGGGCGGCTAGGTGCTAGGGGACGGGGCCGGCTAGGACCTAAGGCGGAAGCGCGGGTGGGCGGGGGGGACCTAACCTACTCATGATACCATCTCAGAGTTAGAAGTGTTGACTAGAAAGAGAGAATACAGGGGTATAAAGCTATTGGGTTGTACTCTCTATGGCATGACCCTATGTAGTCTATTAAACATACACACATATGTTTGACATCAATACAGGCTTTCTGCATGACTTATGAGGCCCTGGACGAAACGTAACGCACGACATGTCCAGAGCAAACCCAGCCGAATTAGATTCAACACCAACTGCAACCAATCATGTCGCGTTTTGCGAGCTCGGGCATGTGCATACAGCCGAACCAATCATGTCACGTTTGGCGAGCTCGGGCACTTCAGCCGAAAATAACTTCGCGGCCATTCATGTCGCATTTTGCGACTTTGATTCAACACCAACTGCACGTCGCAGTGCGTCGCATGTTTTGCACGTGTGGCAGCACTTTGCAACAAGCACCTCGGTTGCTGATCTACAGAATGCAAAACGGCATGATCAGGAACCAGGATCAGGAATGCTGATCCTGATTCTGGATGGTAGGAATACGCTCTAATCATAAAAGTATAGTCCGCCAGATGTTATAGCTCTTTGCCCGTCCTTTCACTGACAGTCTTAACAGACAAATCCAATTGGTGGAAATTTGCGTTGGCTATCATTGCATTGCAAGTATGGTCTCCGCCTAAGCACCTCAAGTGAGGGCCTTGATCCATGGATGCTCTGACATTCAAAAGAAAGAAAAGACATTCAGTTGCATGGCCGGGCAGCGGTGAAAGCAGAAGCGTTAAGGAGAGGGGGGGGAGGGGGAGGGAAGGAAAGGGGGCGGAAGGGGGGGTGGGGAGGGGGGAGGGGGAGAAGGGGGAGGAGAAGAGGGAGGTTGAGTATAAGGGATGAGCAAGAGGGGGTTATAGGCAAGGCATGTGGAAGTTGACAAGTGCAGTACTTGGCAGGGAGAAGGCTTCGAAATATGCTTGCCATGGGTGTATGAGGCTAGAGGAGGGGGACGATGGGGGCGATGGGGACGATGGGGATGAGCTTAGGTACAGGTTAAGGGGGGGGGGGGGAGTGTGTAAATTGGCTGTGGTGTGGCCAGGGAACCAGGAACATACGCGAGGAATAACAAGGGAGTGCGGTGGCCAGTCACAAGCTTGGATAAACTGCTGACATGATTATCATCGTGGTAAGCAAATGCATATATGACAACAGGAAGGCACAAGCATGCAAGGCAAGCACTCGAGGTGTGATGAGGGAAGCACTCAATCAGTATCTTGGATTCAGCATCCACGGATGAGGTGCTAAGGGGTGCAATGGGGTGCAAGGGGTGCAATAAGGCAAACACTCACTCAGTATCTCTGGCACAGTGATCCGCTGGTCGAACCTCCGGTTCAGCATCCGCCGAACCAAGTCCTTAGCGGCGGCCGACACGTCCGGCCAAGGCTCGGTCTCCAGATCCAGTGGCTCATACAGAATACTCGTGAAGATCTCCTCCGTGGTATCCCCCCAGAACGGCGGCAGCCCGCACAGCATGACATACAGAATCACCCCCAGGCTCCACACGTCCGCCTCGGTTCCGTAATTCTTTGCGATAACTTCTGGGGATATGTAGTTGGGGGTGCCGGCGCGCTGCGTGCAGCGCTCGCCGTCCTTAAAGAGATACGCCATTCCAAAGTCGATCACCTTGACACGCGTGTCGCTGCGGGTCGACACAAGAAGCACGTTCTCGGGCTTCAGGTCGCGGTGCAGGATGCGCTTGGAGTGGCAGAAGTTGAGCACGTCTGCTAGGGTTCTGCAGACCTGTGCCGCCTGGCGCTCGCTGTAGTGGTTGCGGGCAACGATGCGGTCGAACAGCTCGCCTCCCTCGCAGAGCTCCATTGCTATGTGCACCTCCTGAGCAGTACCAAAGAGAGGCGGGAAGCGGGGAGGGGGGAGGGGGAGGGGGAAGCGGAAGTGGGGGGGGGGGGAGAGTGGAGGGGAAAGGGGGGTGCAGGATGTTGTTGGAGTGGCAGAAGTGGAGCACCTCGGCCAGGGTGCGGCACACCTCGGCCACGGTGCTTGTCTCTTGCAGTAATGCCTGCAGCGATTCAGTGGCCAAATCAACTCCCCATGCCAACTCACATGCCCACTCACATGCCCACTCACATGCCCACTCACATGCCACCTCACATGTCCACTCACATGCCAACTCACATGTCCACTCACATGCCAACTCACATGTCCACTCACATGCCCACTCACATGCCCACTCACATGCCCACTCACATGCCCACTCACATGCCCACTCACATGCCAACTCACATGCCCACTCACATGCCAACTCACATGCCCACTCACATGCCCACTCACATGCCAACTCACACGCCCACTCACATGCCCACTCACATGCCTACTCACATGCCAACTCACATGCCCACTCACATGCCACCTTACCAAGCAGAGGAAGTGTAACCTTCCAAGCAAACACCATTTGCAATGTAATCTTGGTGTGTCATTGTGTCAGGGTTTCGGGTTGTGTCATCTCCGACCATCAATTCCCCATGGCATCTACCAGTATTCACTCACTGTTTAATCTCACTATCAACTCGCTGTTTTATTTCAGGGGTCAATTTACTGCTCAGTTATTTTTCCTATCTCCCATTGTCAACTCACTGTATCATCTTCATGGGTATCCACCAGCGAAACGATGTTCGGATGCCCCTTGAGCGCCGCCATCACCTTCACCTCCCTCTTCAGGTCCTCTATGTCATCCACGCACTGGGGGGGGGCGAGGCGAGGGGGGACGGGGGAAAGGGGGGACGGGAGGGGAAGGGAGGGGCAGAGGGGGGAAGGAGGGAAGACTAGTAAGGCATACCACACCCTTCAGCGCGCCCATCCCCTCCACCTCCCTCTTCAGGTGACACGTCCTCCATGTCATCCAGACACTGGGAGAGGGGGAGGAAGCGGGGGGGCGGGGGGAAGGGGAAAAAAGGGGAACGGGGGGAACAGGGGGAAAGGGGAAAAAGGGGGGAAAGGGGGAAAACTTACTGAGACAAAGGCAAACTGCGCCCCTTAAGCGCCCCTCTCCTCCTGTCAACCAGTTGACTGCGCAGCCCTCGTTCATCCCCTTCTCCCGCCCCCTTCCTCTCACCCTCCCTTCCCCCCCCCCCTCTTTCCCCCCTTCCCCCCCTATCCCACAATCCCCATCCCCTCTTCCCCTTGTTCCCTCCCTCGGCCCCCCCCTTCTCTCACCTCTAGCCGATTCTTGTTGACGCTCTTGCACGCAAATCGCTCCCCCGTGACCCAGTTTGTTGCCTCGCGGATCACCCCGAAGTTCCCCCGCCCCAGCTCCTTCCCCAGCTCGTACACCGCCCGCACGTCCGACATGCCGCGCCCCAGCACGGACGCTGCTTGCTGCTGCATCGCCTCTGCCTCCTTCTTCCTCCACTCGTCCAGCGCTGTTTGCACCATCGCCTTCACGTCCTCCTTCCCTTGCGTGCTTGCCGTGCTTGCTGCTGCTGTCTCCTTTGATGCTGCCCCCGTTTTTTCACCTGCTGCTGCTGCTGCTGCTGCTGCTTGCTGGTCTTCCTCTCCAGCTTTCTTTGTCCGTCTTGCTCCTTTGTCTGTTTTTGCTTCTTCTACAGCCATTGCGCCTGCTGCAGCTGCTGCAGCCGCTCCCGTCACAACTCCATCTCCCTCCTCTCCATCCTCCTCACCGCTCGCCTCATACTTCTTCCCCCCCATGTACCTCCCCCAATCCTCTCCAACCACCTCCACTTCCTCCTCCTCCCTCTCCTCCTCCCCTTCCTCCTCCCCCACCTCCGCTTCCTCGTCCTCCTCTCCCTTCCCCCCCTCCTCACTCTCCCCTCTCCGCCCCCACATCCGCCCCATCCAACCGCCACCACCAGGCGAAGCAACCCTATAATACTCACTTGGGCTCGGAGTACGAATCGGCCCTAGAAACAACCCCAGCGCTCCCCTCCTTCCCCCACTCCCTCCCCTTCCCCCCCTCCCTGCACCCCCTGCCCCTCCTTTGCCTTTGGCTGGTGAGTTCAAAGGAGGGGAACTTCTGGGGGACATTCCAGGCCTGGGTGATTGGAGCGGGGTGCCTCCGCCCACTCCCCATTGCCCCGAACCTCGCCGTCCCGAGCCTAGCCCTCCCGAGCCTAACGCTCCGGATCCCGAAGCAAAGAAGCTCTGAATCTCGGCCAGTTTCTGCTTGTCCCTATCTGCTAGAGCCGCCATAGATTGCGGGCTGTGCACCACACTACCCCCTCCCGGAGTGTAGGGGTAGTTAGCATAAGGACTACTCTCAGTCGAAGGACTATTGCTACCAGGAGGGCTATAATTACCCCTGGGGCTGCTCGAGAACAGAGGGCGATTGGTAGTTAAAGACACTGACGAAGCGGGGCTGGGGACGTAAGTCGGGGAGGAGAAGCCGATCAGGTTGCTCTGCGCCTGGTCCACCGGGCTTGAGCTGCTGGCTCGGCTCACGCCGGGGCTGGGCCGGCTCGGGCTTCGTAGCTTCGGGCTGCGGAGGTTCGGGCTGGCCACGCTAGGGCTCTGGTGCCTGGGGGAGCGAGAGAAAGACGCTGGGATGGCTGGTGGCGCTGCTGCGTTGCTTGATCCGGTGTTTCCCATACCCCCTGCACCGCCCAGAGAGGTGGCATATGCACAAGGTTTCGGGGTAGGGAGGCGGTAGCCGGGGGAGGGAGGAGTGCCACGTGGGCTGGTGAAGGGTGGCGACTTGAGTAACGTGTCATTGGCAGGCAGGCCGCCCCCACGTGGGCTGGTGTAGGGTGACGTGGCGGGGCTGACGCTGTCGTGGCCCGGAAGCACAATGCTCGGCGTTCTGAATCCCTTGGGCCCGGCGCCCCCGGTGCTGCTGTTGCTGCTGCTGCTGCTGCTGCTTTTGCTTCTGGAATCAACATGGCTACCAAGCATTGCAGCGCCTTCTTTGCCTACTGCTGCGCCCACACTGCTAGGTCTTAGCATAACCGTGTTCGTGCTGGCAGATCGCCTGTGCCGCCCCACGCCACCACCACTGGCACTACCGGCACCCCCATGGCTATAGCCGCCCATGCTGCTGTTACTCTGAGCATCAGCGTTGCCAAAACCTGCGCTTTTGTTGCCGCGACCAAAGCCAGCACCACCAGCGCCGCTCCCGCTGCCGGGGTTCCTAAGTGCCGCTGCACTTAGCAAAGTGCCGGTGTTATAAGTGGAGCCGATGCCCGTCACATTGCCGCTGCTGGAGCTTCTAGGCACGCTCCCGCGTAGCACAGTGCCCATCGAGGGAGTAAAGCCCATCCCCGCCATATTCCCGCTGCTCGCGCTTCTAGGGATCCCGCTGCTCCCGCCCATGCCCTTCCCCCTATGCACCCCGCCACCCGCCACCCTGCCTTCTCCCCCCATCCCTCCGCCGCCGCTCCCTCCAATCGCTACGCGCCCCCCTCCCCCGCCTACGCCTCCCCCTCCGCCTCCGCCTCCGCCTCCGCCTCCGCCTCCGCCGCCCTCCCCAAGCGCCGCATGCGTAGTTCGACTCCTGGATAAGCCTGCCAAGTCAGCAACCGGCCCACCCGCGGAACCTTTCGCGAAGTTTCCGCCAGTCGTTTTGCTGCGCCCAATGGGGCTGGGAAAGGGCCAAGCGCCGCTCTTTCCGCCCGCCCTGGGGCTCAGGGGGGGCAAATGCGCGCCGCTACTGGTGTATCCTGCGCCGAAACCGGCGGAAAGATTGGTCGTTCTAGGGCTAGTGGGCGGAAGTCCCCCCATCATTCCGCCCGCCCCGCCCGCCGCTCCCCCCGCCCAGATGAAGTTTCCGCTGCTCTGAGATCGGCGGTGGTATGGCGGGGAAGCAGTGGGGGATCTGTGTACATGCGGGGACTGTAACGAGTCTGCGTCTGACGGGGACAGCGGCCGCGGCGGAAGCCCCGTGGGGCTCGGAACACGCGGAATGGCGGAAGCGGAGGCGGAGGCGGAAGGGGAGGCGAGCGCGGTGGATGTGGCAGGGGAAGCTCTCTCCTCCTCGTCTTCCCCCTGCCATCGTTCCCGACTGCGCGGAATCGCGCTTCCGCTTTTCCGCCGGGAAAAATACTCCGATTTCCTCTCCGCGTCAGCTTCTTCCGCCGCCTCCGCCATGCCCGTAGCATTCCCGCTACCGGCGCCTCTAGGAACATCCCCGCTATTAACGTCCTCGTTTCCGTCATTTCCTCCGTCGACCTCCTCCTCCCACAGGCTCGGCAGCAGCTCCTGGCAGATCGACCCTCCGCGGCTCGACCCCCTCCTCCGCGCCGCCGCCGCAGCGCCAGACAGGACAACCGTTCCCGAGCCGCCGTCTGCGACTCGGACGCTTGACCCCGTCGGCGACCGCGTAGACCCTGGCGACACGTGTTGGTCGCCGCCGCCGCCGCGAGACCCGCCGCTACCTCTAGTACTATTACTGCTAGCGGCGTCATGATTACCGGCGGCATTGCCGCCGTTCGCGGCGCGAGGGGAAGGTTCGTGGAAGGAGAACGCGTCCTCTGATCGGTACCGCCGATGACGTGGCAGCGGCGATTGCGGCTTCGAAGGCCGTCCCGCGTGCGCCGCCGCCGCCGCATGCCCTCGAGACCGTAAGTTGCTGTCGTGCGCTTCTATGCAGGATGGGCTATTAACACCCGAGCTCGCATCAAGGGAACTCGGTAAGGGAGTAAGCTGGTCGTGGCCTTCTACCGCCGCGGGATCATCGACGGTGGGATTGGCGACGAGCTTAGACGTCGGCGACAGGCGGCGACGCGCGCTATTAGCGATTCTGCTGGCCCCAGCGGCGGCGCCTCTCGCCTCGCGCTCGCTGCCGTCGCCACCGCCGCCGCCGCCGTCGCCGCCGCCACGTTTCCCGCTTCTGTTAGGCTCATGACAGTTTTCCCATTCCGATAAATTTTGGCTTTCCGATTGGCTCTGGTCAAAGGAAAACGCGGACTCCGATTGGCTGCGAAAGTGCGAAGCTGTCCTTGCTGCCGCTGCGAGTCGAGCGTGGTAACCACGTTCGTCAGCCATGATGCGAAGAGGATCGTCGGTGGCAGTGGGACGGACTAATGGAAGCATCATGTCATTACTCATAAATACGAGGAACTAAACCCACGCGGCTTATAATAGAAGCCCGTTACTTCCGGTCTGCGCGCTGCGCTGAAGGGTGTAAAAAAAACCGCGCGGGCAAAGGGAAACCGGCGCGCAACCGCAGCGAGCGCCGCTGAAACGCGTAGGAGATACTGAGAACCATGCGCGAGACACTGGCAAGCAATGCTCAGCCTAACATAAATTAGCCTGTCATGACTTCGTCACATACTGCTAGAAGGAAAACAATGCGAGGATGAAGGCATTGTCCAGTCATTTGCGTGAGACAAGCCTACCTTCCCCGCAGAAATGTCGCTTGCCAGAAGGAAAGGGTTCTGCTGTTTGATGTCGCATTCGAGCAGAGGCGATGTCTAAGTTACAGTAAGGGCCATGGTACAGCTCCAAGCACCAAAAAGTTTATGGTGTGATAAGACTATATGTCCCCTCTAAACCCTACCCGAACGTAGTACACATGACGTCCAGTGAACCGCCCATTCGTCAGAGGCCCCCATGCACTCGTCAGTCCGACTGGCACGGATATACAGGCAACGGGCCGTCCTGGACTGGCCCAATTTTGGGCGGCTCAACCACTTGCGACACTGCGGGGAGAGAACATGCAGAAGGAACAATTGTAGGTTGACCCGGAACCAGGGTGTGATTGTGCGACAGTTACCGGGGTACACGGGAGAAACAACGAATGTCTTCCATGTTCCAAGGGTCCTGCCAAACGGGTAACCATGGTCCTACCTTCAGGCCCAATTTGCCAGCGATTTGAAGGCGTCCGTTACTGGAGTAACCGTCTGAAAACAAAATGGGCCTCTTTTAGAACTCTAATGTAGCTGTTAAATCAACATCTCTGGAATGCAGAATAACTCGCTGAAATCGAAAGGGGTGATGCTGGAGAATGTCCAGAATTGGCCGGCCAGAGCGGCTCGCCCTTTCCCGCATGAGTACAGGTTGGGCCGTTGTTCCAGTCGGTCCTTGCAGATCAGCATCCACATGAAGTCCTTTTCAGGCCCAGTTTTTTTTCAGGCGGGTGCTCCAGAGTTGAGCACATAGCTTTCACGGGCGACTTGGGCCAATATTGTGTAGTCTGGTTTCCTCGTTGGCATTTTCCAGTCTAAAACGGGTGACCACTATTGTTTGTTTTGCGTTCCTCGGGCAACAGACTAAGGTTTGAGAACGTCTCGTCTGCACGTTTGGAGGTCTCCGTATCAGATTCGGTAACTGTTGCAGCCCTTTGGGCCTGTGTTGTTTGGCCCGTTGTTCGGATAAATGGGTCTGTAATTAGAAACATGGCATCTATTGAATGGAATATTTACTGGACGTCAGGTGCAGTGAAGATTCACTAACACTAGGCACAATCAGATTGTGGTACTGTAGACCAATTCTGGGTTAACTTCTAGGGTGTAGACATGAATGTCATCAAACTCTCCAATAAACTCCTCTGTTGTAATCGAGACACCCACTTGGCAAGTGGGTTTACCGTCCGCGGTGTCATCGCGGCCAGTGCTTCAAAAAATGGTGTCGGGTGCCCTAATCCCATTCCCCTCCTTTCAAGTGCTTTCCGAAAACTCACCCGTTTTCGGGGTGTAGCACCCAAGTGTACTCGAATTGTTGTCATCTGCTGCGGTTCAGACTTGGTCCGGTGTCCCAGGACTAGTGCGATTCCTTGCTCCATCGGAGTTTGCACTGCGGTTTTTCCTGAGTCTGTCAGTGAGCTGTCATGTCTAAGAATGCTGTCGTCTCTACAAGTTTCTTGACGAGCTCAAATGAGTTGTTTAGCGCAGTAGGGACTCTCACACAATGTTTTGCCGAGAGGTCCAGATTTCCCAAAAATACCCACCCGTACTGCAACCACAAGGTCCTGGTCCATTCTTGACTGTACTTCGGCGACACCAATGGCGCCAATGTTCATGCATGGCCAAGGAAAGCCAAATGAACAGCTGGCGTCGAGCTGTTTCCAGCTTGGGACTTCGGCCCAGTGGCGTGAGGGGATAAAATTTGACGAAAAAAAACTCTGTCGTACCGCGTTCAATCGTCGCAATAGTATCTACACCGTTTCGAACCTATTCCCTAGTTGTCGAATCTCATTTCATTTCGTGCCCGAGGGCAACCGCGTTGTAAGCACAGCATGAAAGGACAGACGGACCACTTCACAATTTGGAAAGACTCTTCTCCATGCTTTTGTTCTCTCATATGAAACATTGTTTTGTTTGGTCAGACCAACCATGAGAGGTGAAAGTGCCAAAAAATTCACAATGCAAATGGCATTGCTTAACTCCCCCCATTTATCTCAATTGACACTCAGAAGATGACTAGGGACGTCTTCCTAATCATACAAAAACTGAATGTGTATCATTTTCATACGTATGAAACTTTTTACTTTTATACTTAAGGAAATAATGTGAGGACAACGGTCGCGTGGGATCTGTCAAACACATTTGAGTGTGTTGCTGAAGACCATATAGGGTTGTGCCTTAGAGAGAACAACCCACTTGGCTATAATCCCTTGTACTCACACATTCTAGTCATTCTTTCAGTTTAATATGGTATCATGAGTAGGTTAGGTCCCCACCGCCCACCTGCCCTTCCGCCGTAGGTCCTAGCCGTCCCGCCGCCAGCCCGCCCACGCTGGCCCGTTCTCCTTAGCCTTCCCCGTCGGGTAGCCGGCCTTGTTTCGTAGCTGGCCCCGTCCCGTAGCCGGCCCCATCCCGTAGCCAGCCCGTTCCCCTAGCCGGCCCCGTCACGTAGATGGCCCGTTCCCCCTACCAGCCCATTCTCGTCGCCGGCCTCATCGCCCAGCAGGCCCCGTCGCGCAGCCGGCCCCGTCGCCTCGTCGACCCCGTCGCGTAGCCGACCCCGCCGCGTAGCCGACCCCGCCGCATAGCCGGCCCCGCCGCATCGCCGACCCTGTGGCCACGCCGGCCCCGTCGCCACGCCCGTCGCCTAGCTGGCCTCGTCCCATCGTCGGCCCCGTCACCTAGCAGGCCCCGTCGCCGAGCCGACCCCGCCAAGTGGCCAACCCCGTCACCTAGCCAGCCCCGTCGCCTAGCCGGTCGCGTGTCGCCCAGCCGACCCCGACGCCAAGCTGGCCCCGTCGCCCAGCCGGCCCCGTCGCCAAGCTGGCCCTGTTGCCCAGCCGGCCCCGTCGCCCAGTCGGCCCGGTCGCCTAGCCGGCCCTGTCATTTTCCAGCTGGCCCGTGTTGACCTTGCTGCACCGCATTGCACCGCCCTGCACTGCACTGCATCGCACTGCACTGCCAGGTACCGCACTGTACTGCACTACACTGCCCTGCACCGCACTGCACCATATTGCACCGCACTGTACCGCACTGCACCGCACTGTACTGCCCTGCACCGCACTGCACTATACTGCCCCGCCCGTCCGTCGCCGCACCGACCCTGATGGCGGACTCGGTGCTGCGCTTCGACGCGGAGGGCCAGCCAGTCGAGTTCAACACGTGGCTCGTCGACCTCCGCCGTCACCTCACTGGTCAGCAGCAGGACGACCACTCCTTGGCCGTCCACCTCGACGGTACGCTCCCCTGCCCTGACCCCCCTGCTGCCCTGCCCGCTAACCCGTCGACTGGTGACCGTGAGTCTGCTTCCGCTGCCGCCCTTGCCCGATCAGTCTGGTTATCGCGTAACGCAGTCGCACAGTTTGCGATCATTCATGCCCTCCCCCTGTCTGAGCGCCCACGCTTTAGGTCGGTGAGGACTACGGAGGAGTTCCTAGAGGCTGTTTTCGCGCTCTACTCCACCCCTCTTGCTGCCTCAGTCGGTCGCCTGATGCTGCCCATGCTCTTTCCTGATCTTGCGTCTTTCCCCACTGTCGCTGACCTAGCCGCCCACTTGCGCACGCTAGATGCGACCTGGCGCGCTGCCTGCACTGAGTCTCAGCTTCGTGTCTTTCAGCCACCCATCTGCTCTACCCTCTACCTGCTTGCCACCTGCCTTCCTGGCCGCCTTGCTACTGCTCGCGATCACTTCCTTAGTCTCCCCGCTGATCTCACCCTCACTGATTTTGTCGAAACCCTGTCTTGCATAGAGACCCGCCAGCGCTCTATTGATCAGTCGAGCGGTGCTGTGCCAGTCACTATCTTTCAGGGCAGTGCCCCCGCTCAGTGTTATTTCTCTGACGGCTCTGCTGCTGTTGCTGAGACAGCACCTGCTGTTGCGACAGCCGCCGCGCAGTTCCGTCTGGGGAAGAGTTGCCGCCCCAAGGCTGGGCGCGACGGCGGTAGTCGAGGAGGGGGTGGAGGAGGTGGTGGAGCCGGGTTGTCCGCAATAACTACTGATGAGGGGGCTGGGGCTTGTGCCTCCGAGCAGCAGCCCCAGCAGCAGCAGCAGGTGCCGACGCTGGACCAGCCGCAGCAGCAGCAGCAACCGCAGCGGCGGGTTGGCCGTCTCCCGCCCGGTTGGCCTGGCGCTGGTGGTGGCGGCGGTCGCGGTGGTCGTGCGCGCAGCATGCCGTCGGGTGGTAGTTCGAGTGACGGGCGCTGCCAATACTTGCTCCAGATCGGTCCTCGCCGCGGCTTCATGTGCGATAAGATCAGTCACACACCCACCCGTTGTTTCCGTCACCTGGACGACCTGTTTTGTCTTCGCTTCGGCCCTTCACCCGACCTTCTCGACTAGCACAGCTTGCTCTACCGTGATGTTTAGATCTTTGATATAGACATGAAAGAGATTAATTATGCTTTGTACGTGCTGTATGTCGATGACTCTAGTGTGAATGGTTCCTATTACCCCCGGTTGCCTAGCGTAGGTGTGCCTCGCTCAAACTTCCCTGCTGCGTCAGGCGTAGGCTCCCTTGTCTTGTTTAGCCTTGGCTCTTCCCTCGCCACTCTGACCCCTGATGCCACTGCTGCGCTCTCCTTTACCCTGGACTTAAGCGCTTCCCGGTGTTTCTTTCGCGACTCCACTATGCTGACGCCGCTTGCCGCTCCCCCCGCAGTTTCCCTTGCCGACCCATCCTCAAGTCCAGTAGTCGCCCGTAGCTCCACCACCCTCCCTTGTCCAGCGGTTCCTTCGGGCTCTCTTACAGGCCTGCACATCCCCTCATTCTCTAGGAACCTAGTTGGTGTCGACTGCCTTCAGGACCTCGTCGTTACCAATACGTTCCCGGGTCACGAGTGGTACGCTGTCTGTACCGAGGCCGCTACTCGTGCTCCCCTCACCACGTTCCCCTGGGACTCGGTGTCTGGCCTGTTTACGCTGGACACCACGTCCTTGCCGGTCGAGACGCCTTTCTAGGTGTCTCTGTTTACCCAGGTCATTGCAGCTTGCTCATGTCGGTCGCTTACTCACCCGACGCTCCTGTGGCACCACCATCTGGGTCACCCTGCCCTTCCACGTCTTCGTCACATGTCCCAGCATGGT